GTAGAGACGGGGTTTCACCATGTTGACCAGGATGGTCTCGATCTCTTGACCTCGTGATCCACCTGCCTCGGCCTCCCAAAGTGCTGGGATTACAGGCTTGAGCCACCGCGCCCGGCCACTCTTTCATTTTGAGCGAGTTTCACACTGTTGCTCAGACTGGAATGCAGTGGCTCGCTGCAATCTTTGCCTCCTGGGCTGAAGCAATTCTCCAGTCTCAGCCTCCTAAACAACTGGAACTACAGGCATGTACCATCATGCCCAGCTAATTGTTGTATTTTTAGTAGAGACAGGGTTTTGTCACGTTGCCCACGTGAGTCTCAAACTCCTGGGCTCAAGCAATCCATCGGCTTTGGCCTCCCAAAGTACTGGGATTATGGGTGTGAGCCACTGCGCCCAGCCTAATTCTTTTTGTAAGACAGAGTCTCGCTCTGTTGCCCAGACTGGAGTGTGGTGACGTGTTCATAGCTCACTGCAACCTGGAACTCCTGGGCTTAACAGATCCCCCCGCCTCCATGCCACCACGCCCTGCTAATACATTAATTTTTTGTAGAGACAACATCTGGACATGGTGCTCAGACTGGTCTCGAATCCCTGACCTCAAGTGAACCTCCCACCTTGGCATCCCGAAGTGCTGGGATTACAGGTGTGAGCCTCCCTATCTGGCCTGGGGAAGAGTTTAAGTAGGTGAGTTATGGGAATATATTTTAGCTGTGCTGGGTGTTGGTAGGGCAAAGATAAGATTTCTTCCAAAAACAGAGTGAGTGCTGATGGGAAAAAGGGTTCAAGACAGCCAAGAAGATAACACGTTTATGGCCAAAAAGTGTCTGAAATTCAGCCAAGCACGGCGATTTTAATAGTATATCTAGACTAATATCTCTACACTGAAGTTGTTGCTATATTATTAATATTGTAATCACTATTTAGTGGTAAAGGGCTTATATTCTGGAATCGCAGAGGTCTAAGCCTAAATTCCAGCTCTGCCTTGTTGTAGCTGTGACTTGGGCAGAGTGAATTTCTGCCCTCACACTGTACATCTCAGTTTCCTCATCTGTAAGGCAGGGATGATGTTAATACTGACCTTACCGGATTGATATGAAAATTAAAGGACATAATATATTCAAAAGAACTGAAGGCAAGGCTTGACTCATTAGGCCCCTAGTGGTTTTTGTGCATTATTTCATGAAATCTTACAACTATTTGGCATAATTTGTATCAAGTCCCTTCACTTCCCCTTTACAAAAGTAGAAACTGAGGTTACAACTGAGAAACTTGTTTGAGGTCACACAGCTGTCTGACCTGTCAAAGCTGTGCCTCTGGTCCAGCTCTGCCAGACTCAGAATCCCCGGGTCTTAACCATACATTCAAGTGTCTCCTGGAAGAGTCAACTCTTCCCCACCCTTCACAGCCCCATTGCTATGAAAAAGGCTCACTAACCCCCTGCTGCACAGCTCCTGCTGGTTGTCTGTTTTAGAAAAATAAGGAGACACTGGCATCCCAAGGCAGTAGGATTGAAAAGTTTGCTTCTTTTCTTTTTGAGATGGAGTCTCGCTCTGTCACCCAGGCTGGAGTGCAATGGCACTATCTCTGCTCACTGCAACCTCCATTTCCTGGGTTCAAGCAATTCTCCTAACTCAGCCTCCCAAGTAGCCGGGATTAGAGGCACCTGCCACCATAACCGGCTAATTTTTGTATTTTTAGTAGAGATGGGGGTTTCACTGTGTTGGCCAGGCTAGTCTCGAACTCCTGACTTCATGATCCACCTGCCTTGGACTCCTAAAGTGCTGGGATTACAGGCGCAAGTCACCGATAATTAGTTTGTTGTGTTTCCTACTAACCTCTGCCAATTCTATTTCAACCTCCATTCTCCAATCATTGTAATTAGGTATTTCAGAATTGTGTTGCATTTCAATCACAGTAACAATAATGGTAGCATTTTATTAATAAATCAAGTAAAAACTGAAAATGACAATGATAGTGTATGACACACAACAAATGACATCAACTTTGCATCACCTAAAGTTCCAACTTTTCTGTTATGAATCTGGATTTCTTGTGGAGTATTGTATATTGAACATAGGAAATAAGATTACTGTACGTGAACATTTTGTAACTAACAACTTTCTCGAGATATAATTCAGGTAAAAACTCACACCTGCACAACTATTTTTTTCTAGCCTTTTTTTTCTCTGTACTTTCAGTTTTCTTTTTAAACGGTCCATACTATTCAAGAAACAACTTTTAAAGTCCACAACAATTCTTTAAGTTAGATTTTAATGATACTTATCTGCCCCCAAGCTCTATTGAAATAATAATGACATTCATTTTTAATCACTTTTCATCATAAGAGAAACACAAATTTTCCTATTGATTTCCTATGGACAAAAATCAAGTTTTCGTGGTACTTTTACATTAGTAGCATGTTCAGCCAGTTTCCAAAGACATTAGTCAAGTCCCCAACATGCAACTTGCATATTACACTACCTTGGAATTCGGCGGCACAAACATCAGTGAACTATTACTTGTACAAAACCTCTCTGAAAACAACTAAAAGGAAAAGTAGATGGCTCGAAACAAGGAATGTTTGTTTTTTTTAAGAGCAATTTTTCACGATTCAGTAGAGGTGTGGGGAGAGCCTCCCCACTTGTGGCTCTGCACGGCGTGCGCGCGCGGCAGTCCTGGGGTCTCCTCCCCGCGGGGACAAGGCCGGGGTCCCTGCGCGAGCCCAGCGGACCTGACCAGTGTGGGGGTCCCGCTGCCGGTCGCAGGGGCACAGGGACCGCGTCCGCCAAATTCACGGGGCCTGTGGGCGGGGGGGGGGTAAGGAGACTTTCCTTTCCACGTTAGCCAGGGCCACCCCAGCCGGAGGGAAGTCACCTGGGACCCTGGGGGCTGGAGGAGCAGCGGCCTGCAGCCACCGGCGGAGGGGAACGGGAGGACGCGGGGGTGGGAAGATCCGGGCTCCACGCCCCGCCCGCCCCACGACCCTGGCCCGGCGCTCCTCCCCTCGGAACCCCCCACCCAGTGCCCGGCCCCCGCCCCGCCCCGCCCCGCGCGGCCCCCAGTCCTAGCCCCGCGCGCCCCGACGCCCCGCCTGCGCCGCGGGCCCGAGTAGTGGGCGCGGGGCGGCCCGCTCGGCTCCTCCGCACCCGCTCCCCGCTCGGGCCGAGGCGCCGCGGCCGCGCGCCCCTCCTGGAGGAGGAGGAGGAAGGAGGCGGGAGGAGGAGTTGCCGAGAAGAGAAGGCGAGCGCGGCAGTCGCGCCGGCGCTGGGCGAGGAAGCCGAGCCGGGCCGCCTCCGGGTGAGCGTTCGGGGAGCCCGGGCGGGAGGCTGGGACCGGGCTTCGCCGTCCGCCTCCGGCTCGTCCGCAGCCCGGGGCACTGGCCGCCGGGCTGGTTTCCGCCTCGGGGCTCAGGGGGCGGATCCGGCGCGGGCCGGGCCGGGGAGGCCGCCGGGCGCCAGGCTGCAGCAGCGGGTCTGGGTCAGCGCGAGGGCCTGCGCCGCCTCGGCGGGTGCGCGGGTGGGGGCCGGGGCCGGGGAGCCGGGGCCGGGAGCGGGGACGCGGGAACCGGGAAGCCGGGGCCGGGGCGCGGCGGCCCCTGAAGGGCTGAGGCCTGCGCGGCCGCGGGCGGCTCTTCCCGACCTCTCGGCCTCTTCGGCCGCGCCGCGCCGGCCCGGGCCGCCGCCTTTGTTGCCCGCAGCTTGCCGGGGAGAGGCCGGGGCTTGGCGAGGCCTGGGCGGCGGCGCGGGCCCTGCGCGGCTCAGTGCCCCGGCCGGGTCCCTGCTCCGACCTCCGCGGGCTGGGGGTCGGGGCGCGGCGAGGCCGCAGGCGCTAGGGCGGGCCCGGGGCGCGGTGCTGGGACTCGGGGACGCCCCCGCCCCACCGCGAGGTCGCGCGGGCGCTGGCGGAGGGGCAGGCCGGGGCTGCTCTATCGCCGAAGGTGCCGCCGGCCGGCCGCGCACTCACCCGGGTGTGGGGAAGGGACGATTGTGGAATTTAAAGCGCTCCTGGGACCGACGCGGGCCTGAATTTTCCGTTTGCTTCTGGAGTTGGCAACTTCAGGTACACCCTTGTGGCTCACGGAGCAGAATTATGGAAGTTTCTTAGAGGCAGATCCTGGCACAAAACTTGGGATGTGTGGTTGGAATGTGAAATTGGGGTTCCTATCCCCAGTGTTTGGAATGGAGGGCCAGGTGGGAATATGTGGCAGAACTCAGTCTTCTGGTAGCAAAATAATGTTGAATTCATTTCAACAAATGTTTCTGCAACATTTGCCCGGTTAAGGCAACACGCACTGTGCATGAGGACAGAGAACACACTAATGATAGAAATAACGTGAATTACACATGCTGAAAGTCTCCCAGAGACGTTTTAAATTTATTGTGTTCCTTGGGGTAAAGATATATTAGTAATCAGACAAAGGTAAATGGTCTACTTCTAGTTAAAACATCTGACGTCTTCTCAACCACAGAAGATAGCAGTTTATCTTGACTTTTTTTTTTTTTTTAACCACAGCATTAAATCCATTTAGCTTACTTGAATGAATGAATCTTAGTGGAGTAGTTAATGCTGTGGACAGTCAGACTTACTTAAAAACAGGAATGGCATTGCTCATCAGCTTTCACAAAACCCGGAAAAAAGTCTGTAATGCTTTCCCGTGGGCTAATTTCTCCTCCTACTCCTAGTGGGTTTTGTGCACTCGTGGATATGGTAAGGTCTAGGATCCATTCCGTTGTAAACTAAATAGGTGGCCTTGACCCTTTGGTTCCAACACCGTCCCTAAGCCTGCCTTGGTGCTTTGGAGGAAACTGGTTTGTGGACTGTGGACTGGATTCCTAGAAGAGCTTCTACCTGGAGTGTGGCCAGGGCTTTCCCCATGTGCCTGGGTAAGGATCAGCCAGGTATTCACCTGAATCTATACTTTTTTAGAATTCCATTCAGCGTCTCTTTTGGAACACTTTCTCTTACCTTTATCATTTATCTTTTAAATTACCCTCTAAATTGGTAGTCTTACTCCTTGCTCATTTCTCCTTCCTCCTCCCACCAAAGAGCACACCCTAGGGCATCCCCTGACCTCCTGTCTTGGCAGGAGGGCCCCTCTCCCCCAGAGAAGGGATTTGAGTGCCATTGACTGGGCGTTGGCTGGAAAATGGTGCTGTACTGACTGAGTTTCTATTCATTTTGCATTCCAGTGTTTTTCTTCATTCTTGTATTAGAACTGGAAAAGGTATTCTTTTTAATGCCCCCCCCCCACCTTTTTTTTGGGAAACAGCAAGTATCTTCTTTTTTGTTTTTCCTCTGTCACCCAGAGTGAAGTACAGTGGTGCAGTCATGTCTCACTGCAGCCTTGAACTCCCGGGCTCAAGTGATCCACCTCCCTCAGCCTCCTGAGTAACTGGGACTGTAGGCATATGCCACGAATTGATTGTCTTTTGTAGAAGTGGGGTCTTGTTTTGTTGCCGAGGCTGGTTTCAAACTGCAGGCCTAAAGATCCTCTCACCTCAGCCTCCCAAAAGCCCTGGGATTTCAGGCATGAACCACCTTGCTAGTTTTCTCCATTGTGGCCAGTTTTCAGGAAACTTTTGGGTTGTTGATCATGTCTTTTATTTTGCTTATAGAGGTGTGATCTTATTTAAAAGTCCAAACATATAGCTCGTCCCCAATTTTGGATTTTCTGACTTTTTGGTGGAGCACAAATGATACACATTCAGTATGCACCTCGACTTGTATCCATATAAACCCACTGAGTTTTGACTTTTAAGGTATTTTCAGTTTATCATGGGCTTTCTGGGATGAGCGTCTGCCGTTTGCAAATCTGTGGCGATAATTGTTATTCTCTTAAAAATATGCACTCATGAGAAAGGATATTACATACATAAATGCATATGCATTTGGAAGTATTAGGTCAGATGCCTCATTTATAATCCAGTATAGCTGATGGATGTGTATACATTCTGTTTTAATGCTTAATAAAGTTAGATAAAGAAATGAACTAAAAAGATCTCCTTTTGCTGTTTTCTGTTTATTTCATCTTTTGTAGGAAGTTAGGATTGTCTATTTCAGTCCTCTGCCCTCATCCCTGACCTCTTCCAGTTCTGGAAATTATATTTACATCTGTGGTGCCGAAGTGCTTTTGTAAAATTACTCGTTTTACAAGGGAGAAATTCCTAATACTGGTGTATGTCATAAAAAGGAGAAACTTTCTTTTTTTTTTTTTTTTTTTTGAGACGGAGTTTCACCCATGTTACCCAAGCTGGAGTGCAATGGCGCGATCTCGGCTCACCGCAACCTCCGCCTCCTGGGTTCAGGCAATTCTCCTGCCTCAGCCTCCTGAGTAGCTGGGATTACAGGCACGCACCACCATGCCCAGCTAATTTTTTGTATTTTTAGTAGAGACGGGGTTTCACCATGTTGACCAGGATGGTCTCGATCTCTTGACCTAGTGATCCACCTGCCTCGGCCTCCCAAAGTGCTGGGATTACAGGCTTGAGCCACCGCGCCCGGCCCTAGGAGAAACTTTCTTATATGGCCAGATTGATAGAAATAATTGTTCAGATATTAAAAGAGAAACAATGTAAGAGATGTTTAGTGTTGTTTTAAAGTGAAATTATCATTAATGTTTTTATGGATAATTTATTACACTGTTCGGCATGTTGGTTTAGCTAATAAGTCGTGATGGCTTTAGGCCTGAGGACACCATTACTTATACTGATTTCAGGTCTTTACTAACCCATACAAACAATAAATTTTACTTAGTTGGGGCAGTTGTTTTTAGGTGGCTGTTGGTCTTGGTGTTTCAAGAACAGACATATTTAGATAAAGTCACGTGAGATTTCAGTTCCCACCTTGCACACTCTGGATGTGTTGGAGCATCCATTTACCATCCCTGTGAACTTGAACACGTTCTGTATGCCCTCTGAGTCTTATTCCTCATGTGGGGATAATAATTTATCTCACAAAGTTACAATGAATATGTATTTATGGTAAAATCTAAACTTTTTTTTTTTTGAAATGGGGTTCTTGCTCTGTTGCCAGGCTGGAGTGCAGTGGCGTGATCAGAAATCACTGCAGCCTCGTCCTCCCAGGCGCAAACAATCCTGTCACCTCAGCTTCCCTCCACTAGTAGCTGGGACCACAAGTGCATGCCACCAGGCCCAGCTGATTTTTTTGTTTTTTGTAGAGCTGGAGTCTCCTTATGTTGCCCAGGTTGGTCTTGAAATCATGGGCTCAAGTGATCCTCCCACCTTTGCCTCCCAAAGTGTTGAGATTGCAGGCATGGGTTCCTGTGCCCAGCCAAAAATCCAAACTCTTTACCATCAACTGTAACATTTCTGCCTAGTTCTGAAATGTGTTTTCATCTCTCCCTAGTTCTCATCTTGAACAATCTTCCCTGCCTTACCAGGGTTCTGCCCTAGCCTTTCTGTTCCTCAACAATCTGAGCTGCTTCCTGCACCCCCACTTTTGACACAGTAGTTCTATTTGACTGCAATGTCCTTCGATGGGTTCTGTGGTTGGTTAATTCTCAGATCTTAATGCCAGTGTCACCACCCAGAGACTTCATGGACTACCTTATGGTTCCTTTAGTAATCCCAAGTCATTAACTTGTATGGTTCCTTCATAACCTCTATTATTTTCTGTAATTATTTTGTTTACTTGTTTCTGCTGTTTCCCCCCCCCCCCCCCCCCAAAATAAGTTCTGTGAGGGCACAATGCCAATGGTGGTCCTTCTTTTCTGTGTCCCTGACACATCCCAGGGGCCTGGCCACTGAGTAGGAGGGGTGTGGCTATACAGAAAATACTTGGAGTGTTCATGTTGTCATCTCTACCTTAAAGGCAACGACATGCTGTCTGCGTGTTAGAAAGTTGTTGGTGTTTCGTGGTGTTTGTCCTTTTTTGAACTGGTCTGCTTGCTTAGCTGAGTAAATCATAGCACTAATAAAACCAAAGTCCTTATAATTACATGGCCCCAACAACCCCACAGAGAGAGGACTGTCACTGCCTGTAGAGCCATAATGTGTGTCTGAGTGACTCCAGGACCAGATTGACTTGCAGTGTAGATGCCCAGATCTCCTCCTTCTGGAAGTATAGTCATGTGTAGTGTGTAGAAAGTCACCATCCCAAAACACATTTCCCTTGGTCATGTGGCTTAGTAAAGTGAAATCTCACTTATCTGAAACCTCCCGGTATCCTCAGATTTCTGGTGTAGAATTAAAGCCAGAAGGAAAAACTTCTCGGAAATTAGAAAAGCCAGAGACTAGGCTGGGCGCGGTGGCTCACGCCTGTAATCCCAACATTTTGGA